CTTCTCTTATGTTCTTATGTACTGGCTGGATTTACATATACACACACACCGTGTGTATAAAATTAACCTTGGTTTCTAAAGACTGAAACTAATACCCTTCTTCTGTCCTTTCCATAAATTTGTGACTTTACATAAATACAGAAGAATTTTCTTCATAGTACCCTTGCTGCTATTGTAACCCCAATCAATATTCTAGGATTTATAATTTTGGCTGGATGGGTAGGAATCATCCATGTTCTAGGTTTTATTTTAATCAAATTTGTTGCCAAACAAAACTTTTGAGTTGACTTGTTCATCATGTTTTAAAGACATGACTGTCTTGAAAGATTCATCTTCTATCACAATTGATTCCTACGTAACTTTTACATTTAACAGCCCTTGCAAGTGGTCCACTCCTAACCTCATAGAGGCCACTTTCATGAACAGAGACTTCCTCTTTCATGCACACCTAGATTAAGGAAGACGTCACAGTGATTTTGCCCAGGTACCCTCTTCATACATTTTACACTGCCCACATGTGAAGGCTTGGCTAACAGTGCCATCCCAAGACAAGTGATGTGCTTCTAAATCCATTAACTTCATTGGGCTTAGAATGCTGTCCAAGTTAATCCGGCCCCACAGGAGGCAGCCAATGGCATGCCTCTTGGGGGCCGCCTTTGCCTCCTCATGAGGAGGAATGGCGGAAGGGCTGTGGTGTAGCCTCAACTCCGAAAGGGGGAGCAGAGCCAGCACAGTTATTAAGGGCTGGCTCCACTCTACCCCCGGCAGTTGCTCGCCTCATGCTCAGCCCACCCACCTGCCCTGTATGTAGTGTAAGCACAGGTTGGTTCCCCCATTTAACGCGGGGCCGGGTAGGATTTTTTTGTCCCCTTCTCTGATTGGCTATTGAGAAGGGGTCTTTTTCGCCTACCCTGCACTGCTGCCAGTGGATTGAGGAATTGGTTTGGGATGGTGCCTTGGGGCTAGATCGACACTTTATTAGGGCAGAATTAGGTTTAAAGAAGAGTTCAGCAGCTACGTAATCACCAATTAATAACCCCGGGGGGCATAGAGGAGTCTGCGGGATCAACCCTGCGGCCATGTGGCCAGGGATGAGGCTTGCAGACTGCCTATGGGGATGGCCATGATGGAGACTCAGCGCTAGCCATGCGGTGGTGTTTGAGGGCTCCTGAAGGTGCATCCCAATCATTGGCTCGGCTGGGTTTGCAAGCGACTTACAGTTGGCTCCAACCCGGGGCTGTGGTGTCTTGCCTTTTATACGGTTAAGGATGGGGTCAAAGCAACACCAGGCCTTGACCGTGCCGCTGTTTCATGTTTGCCCTTGCCGTTACTTTAATATGTTAATACAGTGGCCTTATTTCATACAATCTTGTTGTCTTTCTTCCATCTGAGGGGGCAAGGGATGATTCCAAATGTATGGGTTCCAATAAATCTTAAATGAGTGACACACATGTATGTTTTCCTGTGTATGTCACAAGTCCTGTTTACAGTGTTGATACACATGTAACATACTTCTCTACCTTGTATCCTGAGCAGTTTTTGTACATATTAGAGGGTTTTTTAACTAAGTACACTTAAGGATAGGCACGTCTTCATTTGACAGGTCATATCAATTTTAAAAGGGCAGAAAGAATGCAAGGTTACCTGTTCCTCTGTAATCATAAACCACAATTAAAAATATTTTATTGAAAAAGATTTTTTTAATTACTCCCAACCAATCTCTTTGTATAAACATCTATTTTTCTTTCTTTTATCCTTTCAGAAGAGCAAACAGACTCCATGCCACTGCATTGTACCAAGCTTTTTCTTCTCCTTCAAATACAGAAGCACTTGTTTACTGAAGACTAGAAGTGTTCTTTCTTAATTTGCAGACCTTTCCTCCATTCTCATCCTCCTCACTAAACCTTTGGATAGACACAACTGTAGAATTCCAGTGAATACAAAGAAAGCATCTTTCCACTCTCTTTAATTATTAGATTAAATGTAATACCATACAGTTCTTAATTAACTGACTGGGGGGGGGGGGAGATTTCCTCTTTGCATAAAACAGAAGCGAAACAGAAAGAAACATTTATAAAGCCATCTTGCTTCACAGTATGAAGCTATTACATACAATATTACTATACATATGTACATTACAAGTATATTATATATAAATATAATATATGTAATCGTGTAACCACAATAAATATTAGGAAGGGGGTTCTTGTTTTATTTTTTAGGCACACAGCTTAGAAAAATGCAGAATCTGCACAATCTTTAAGAGTCTTGTACTGACTCACATAATTTTCACACTGAAAACCAAATATAGTATGTAAAATACAGCGACATCATATGCAGTTCCCCAGAGTCTGAGGACTTTTTGTGTTTCCAGTATAATCATACTTGGTTTTCTAATACTATTGCTCTATACAGCTATTACATGTAAGAAAATAATCTGCAGAGTTTTCATTTTGTTTGTGTTTAACTCAGCTAGTAGCCTAAGGGACTATGAGTGCTTTAAAAAAGTACAGGATATCTACAAAACGTATGCACAAATAAGTGCGGTTGATACAGGCTTGGCAAACTCTTTGGAGTTAATTCATCCAATACTGGGAGGGGGGGAGCTGCAAGAGGGAAAAGAAGGAGCTTTCAGTTACAGCAGTAGAGAAATATGAATTCACTTAAAAAATTGCTACAAACTGAGGTAACACCTGTACTTTAAAGATAGAAAACTTTCAAATTAAATGCAAAAATAATTTTTTAAAAATTGGCAATCCTGACAAAGCTAGGCCATCATTGATTGGTATTCCCTTCAATACAAATGGAAATCAGACAATCAAGCCAAAGGGAATTTTCAAGCGATTTGTACCACATGTTATGAAGTCTTGATGTACATAGCCATGGGGCACCTGAGATTGCACTCTAGTAAGTGAAGCTGTCCGCTTCTCTTCAGAGAACAAATGTTCAGTGGTTCAGTATGAGAGACATCAGCTTTGATTTGCAGCTACAAATCAGACTCTGGCATGTCTGACATGTTTGTCATTATATAACCAATACCATAGCGACCGTTAGGAGCAGTATCCATAGTTGGAGAACCAGTCTGTTTTCGGTATATTTTTTTACCAAAACTTGGAGATGGCACCTCACTTGGACTCTTGCCATGAATCAGACTGGTATCGTCTCCCTCAAGATTCACAGGCTCCTTTATGATTCGCCCTCTTTTGTAGGAAACAGCTGCTAAGCTACCAGAGCTATCATCAATAAGGTTGAAGCGGCGAATCAGGAAGACTATTGGAACAGGGAGCAAAGCGAAAACAATCAGGGATATACACACAATCAGCCCCCATTTTGGATAGCTCTGGAATTCCTCAGTAGCCTGTGTAGAGAAATATCAGAATAAATATTACTAGTTCATTTCTTTAATCTAAGCCAATGCAAGAAACAACTGTCCTTTACTGTGAAATCAATTACACAGCTGCAAATAGTACAGAACAATGTTACACATACGTCTTAAAATGTATTATAATACACCCACCCCACCCCCGAAGTCTGTTTTACTTTTAATTGATTTGGTAATTTATACTATAAATAATCCTGCCTTGGGCATCTACTGTTAAGTTTTTTTATAAGCAAATACACAAGCAAATTTCACAAGCAAATACACCATCAAGAGGACTGATATCGTAGTAGCAGAAAGCCCCAATAGTATGAACAGGATATAAGATCCATTGACCAGACATGTTTCACAATGTTGTAGTCATCATGTCTGACAGTTTTGAGTCTTGAAAGCTTATACCCTGAAACTCTTCTTGGTCTCTAAGATGCCACTGTACTCAAATCTAACTACTGACCAAACAGGATCACTAGAGGGGCACGAAAAGGCTAAGCATCCTACTCAAGTCTATTCAATGGGACTTACTCTGAGGAAAGCCTTCTCAGGAAACATTTTCCTGAACAGAGAATAAGATCTTTGAGTTTGCATTGGCTATACTTCTTTTACAAAGAACGATCTGATTCTCTGCTCAGGAAAATATGTTTCTCAGGCAAAAGTGTTGGGTTTTATATACTAAAACAATGTGATTTTTATACATAAAGGAAAGCTGCGAATTAACTTATCTATGTTAGGTTATGCAAGTGTCAGCCCCTTCAGTCATGAATGAGTTAACCTGTTTATGAATGCTAATATTAGTTAGTTAGCTTATAACCAGTTAAATGTTAGACATGTTTTTCCTGTCAGGGGAGGTGAGGTGTCATTCCTAATTAAGATGAGCTCAGGAATGTCTATTGGCTGATCAATTTATTGAGGATGCTACATGCAGTTTGGCACATACACAGTCCTTTTGAAGGAAACTTTCTCTTCCTTTGTTCTCTCTCACACACAGGAGTCTGAGCAAACAAACAAGCAAGATGGAACTCAGAACTAGTTAGCTAGGATGTTATTTTCCTCCAATGTAACCCTTCCCAATCTTTTAGTAAACTTTACTTTTTCTTACAAGCTAAACACACATGTTTGTGTCTGCATTATTTTCCCACTGTGCATCACTGCGCGGCTAAGTGTATCAAACATATAGTTTTGATTATGATTAGTGCCAGTGCAGGCTGTCTTTTAATCTAGTAACTCACCTTATTCTCAATCCATGCACTGTAACCAGGGGGGCTTAATATCATTTGGACAATGCTAGCTACCAACAGAGATAGCAAGACAACAGGAGAAATATATTTCCACATGTAATAATAGTATGGGTTTGGAGAAAAACCAAGCATATCTTTTAGGTCTTCCATAAACCTGGGGAAGAAAGAAAATTTATTAGCTCAGACATTGTTGTGTCAATGTGTTTTTCAAGCTAACTTAAGAATTCAATGTACTGACAAAAACTAAAGAAATATCTATCCTAAGGTGCATTATATAACTTCATTAAATATATATAATAAAGAATGTTTAAAGTAGTTACATAGGGTTTTCCTTTGTAAATGAATGTATTGTGCCAATAGTACCGTAACAGGTGTGTTTCAACAGTGTTGAGTATTTTAAGATCTCAAGGTGTGTGCACACTTACTTGTCAATCCCATAAACATAAGACACGGCAATATTCTCCAAAATGACGACAATTAACAGTGGCAATGTAGCTGAGTAGTCATCAAACATAGTTACAAAGTAGTTACCAGACCGCTGCACAAATATTAGGCCAATACAAAATGCTAGAAGACAGCACACAACTGCAAAAAAGCACAGAAATAAGGGGGTATCAAACATTTTTCAATATTCTTGATATAAGAACAAAATTCAAGTTCAGTGGCACCTTTAAGACCAACAAAGTTTTATTCAAGGTTTTAGCTTTCATGTGTATGCACATTTCTTCATACATATCGAAGTGGAAGTTACCAGTCTATACATACAGGTAGAGGTTGAGCAGCAAATTAGCATACAACATAATGAAGATGTTTAACAGCGGCAAGGACCAAACAGGAATAACAAGCTTAGTTTATATGGTCTATTTGTTTGGATTTAATTCTGTGGGAAAACAACAGGGTCTCAGTTAATTACTCTTCGCATTCCACAATTAAGAAGGGTACATTTACACATCAATCTCCAATTTTGATATATTTATTTGCTTCCCTATATTTCCTCCTGGAATTAAACCCAAGCAAATGGTGACCATATAAACTAAGCTTTTGATTCCTGTTTGGTGCTTGCATCAATTAAACACCTTCATTATGTTGTATGCTCAGGATTTGTTTGGAGCCGGAGCATGGAGGAGCGGCGCTCCGGTAGTGAGGAGCCGAGGGGGCAGGCACATGACCAAGCCCCGCCCCCTGTTCCCAGCAATTGCCAGGCAGGAGGAGGGAGGTCAGGAGGGATAGACGGTGGGCACTCCATACATAAAGACTCGACTCCCGAGGTAAAGGGGCCAGTGCCAGCCAGAGCTCACACGAGGCATCTGTGCAGTCCTAGCATCCGCCCACCGCCACCCTGCCATTGCCAGCCCATGGCTCCGTGCGGGGCCAGTGGAAGGTCTGCCTGCCTCCCCCCGTGCCATTGCCGGCCTGCGCCTCTTGGCGGGGCCTATGGAAGACCACCCACCTCCGAGGCAAAGGGGCCAGTGCCAACTGGAGCTCACACGGGGAATCCGCGCAGTCCTAGCGTCTGCCTGCCTCCCTCCACCACCATTGGCAGCCTGTGCTTTCATGCAGGGCTGATGGAAGCTCCCCCCGCCTCCCCCCATGCCATTGCCGGCCTGCACCTCCATGTGGGGATGGTGGAAGGCCCACCCACCTCCAAGGCTAAGGGACTAGCACCAGCCGGAGCTCACACAGGGTATCTGCATGGTCCTAGCATCTGGCTGCCTCCCCCCTCGCCATTGCTGGCCTGCGCCTCTGTGCGGGGCCAGTGGAAGACCTGCCCGACTCCCCCCGTGCCATTGCCAGCCCGTGGCCAGCTGCAGGACCCAGGGAAAAGCCTGCCCGCCCACCTCTCGACTTTCCCAGCCCACACATTCCCCTCTCTTTTCCTTCTTCTTTCCTTCTCTTTCTCTTTCTTTGCCTCCTTCTCTCCTTTCCCTCTTCCCCTCCTTCTTTCCTTCTCTTTCTTTCCCTCTTTCTTTCCCTCTTTTTATTTCTTTCCCTTTCCCTCCTTCTTTACTTCTCTCTCACTTTCCTTCCTTCCTTCCCTTCCTTCTCTCCTTTCCCTCTTTACCTCCTTATTTCCTTCTTTCCTTCTTTTTTTCTTTCTTTTTTCGCAGATCTGCACGTTTCCCCCCATAGCTAGCAATCCAAAACAGTCCAGTGGCACCTTTAAGGCCAAGGTTTATTCAGTACAAACTCTCCCTCTGAGGGCAGATCTGCATGTCTCTCCCCCCCCCCCAGTTAGCAATCCAAAACAGTCCAGTGGCACCTTTAAGACCAAGGAAAAAAGGAGAAACGACAGCTGAGGGGTGACATGATCGAGGTTTATAAGATTATGCATGAAATAGAGCAGGTAGAGAAAGAAGTACTTTTCTCCCTTTCTCACAATACAAGAACTCATGGGCACTCAATGAAATTGCTGAGCAGTCGGGTTAGAACAGATAAAAGGAAGTACTGCTTCACCCAAAGAGTGATTAACACATGGAATTCACTGCCACAGGAGGTGGCAGTGGCTACAAGCATGGATAGCTTCAAGAGGTAACTGGATAAACATATGGAGCATAGATAGGAACTCTCAGTCTGGGGCAAGTGATGCACTGTATTCTTGGTGCGTGGGGGGGGGGCAACAGTGGGAGGGCTTCTAGTTTCCTGGCCCCACTGATGGACCTCCTGATGGCACCTGGTATTTTTGGCCACTGTGTGACACAGTGTTGGACTGGATGGGCCATTGGCCTGATCCAACATTGGCTTATCTTATGTTCTTATGTTCAATCTCACGCCCACTGTGAGACCACCACTTTATCCCCACCATGCTCTTTTGTGAGGGCCCCCTAATTCAGGAACAGAATTTGGACAGGGGCTCAGAGGGCTGTAGAAGGACCAAGGAGGGAAGAAAACCAATTAGCCTTACTCCGTTCGCAATAATTTGGATCCAAATCAAAAGTTTTATAAGGAGTTATGATTTTTCAGGTAATAGAAACGAGAACATAGAAATACCAACTGTAGGAAATCATTAGGGGAGTACAACCAACCTGTATTTGAGCTGTTTTCTAGTATTCAGTTTCAGCACAAAATGTATCTTATTCTTTGTCAAAGACTTCTTACTTAGGATAAAGAGAGTTACCTGCACCAACTTACCAGTCAAAATTTCTTTTCTCACTTTGAAGGTATCTACTATAGGTGTAGTGATCCCCTCAATGGTTCCAAACATGCTTCCAAGCCCCAAATTGACCAGCATGAGAAAGAACATCACTGACCAGAATGGAGAAGCAGGGAAGTGTGTCATAGCTTCTGTAAAGGCAATGAAAGCCAATCCAGTTCCTTGAATAGCCTGTGAAATGGAAATCCAGATAATCAAGTAGGGGATGAGGTGAAACAAAACCAATTAGATTGTTATAAATTGTTTCTCATCAAAGAACCACAGGCTCAAATTTGCATTTGTCACTGTACAACAGGGATACTCATTCAGTGGCTTGGGAGACACATGTGGCTCTTTGACATGCCATGTGTGGCTCTTCTGAGTTCAGTTCCCCAGTTCCAGGAAAGGGGGAAAGGCCCTTGTCCAGTGGGGCTTGTGGCTGGCAAAAGGTTCCCTCTTTCGAAAAGCTGCTGCCAGAGGAACAGGGAAGCTGGAAGTCTCTGTGCAGGCCTCATGCCAGGGATGAAAGTAAATCTGGCCCTTTCGGTTGACAGTAATTGTTAGTGTGGCTCTCCGTGAGCAGCAGAGTAGCACTGCCACAGAATATTTCTATTCATTTCAGTGACATTACTTCAGATTCATTCTGATTCATACATGTACCATCTCAGCTTAAGTAGCTTTTGTTTTCCGTAGCCAATATTGCAATCAATGTGCATCTTACCTTTATAGCAATTATAAATAGTTAGGTTCAAATAATGCAGCATCAGAAACCACAGTTGAGGCTGCGTTCTTCTAGCATATTTAATGGCATCACGTATATACATGTCAGTATGTGATACAAATCAACACACTCAGAGAATAAAAGGAGTTTTAAGAATGGCAATTCCTATGTAGGAATCCATCTTTAGTGAGCTGAAGGTGACATACATAACAAATAATTTATTATTACAGCAGAGAGTCATCAGATGCCTCCATATGTAGGCTATAGTATAGAATTAGGTAAAGGCAAGTAGTGAAGTCACAGTTTTTCCCACAGCCATCTGCCCCAAGAATAGCCAAGTAACAGCAGAAACTCCACTAAGGTTGAGAAGAGAAATGCCCAGCAAGCAGTACAGTTACAGAACAGGAGAAAGATCCAGCTAGCCAAAGACCTGCATGTAGAGACAGTACACTTGAGTAGTGGTAAGCTAATATCTGGTTCCTACAGTTGCATGGGGGGAAGAGCAGGCCAGGCAGTATTCAAGATGGGACCTTTGTCTGGCTGCTAAAGTTTGCCATGAACCCTCTGTCACTAGGAGTTAGCAGGGTGTTTTTTGCCCTGTATAACAACCATGGCTTGTTGCACTACAAATGTTAGGTTTCCCATTTTAATATATGTGGTGCAGAAGCACATTAGGTTTCCACAGAGTTAGAGGGATGGGGAAAAGACCAACCAAATGTACTCTTTCAACTGAAGAACAAAGAAAGGATGACGAAGAGTTATGAGTGAGAATAATGTGATTGCACCTGATAGTCAGTGTTCTGTTCTTTTCCTATCTCTCTCCTCCTCCACAACTCCCACCCCCCTTGAATAAAAGCCACAGTGCTGAGACATAACCAGTGAACCCTCCCTGATGCACAACCTTATTGGAGTAACATACCATTTGTCCATCCTGGACCATAACTTCACAGCCCCCATCATCAGAATTCTAAGAGTAGAGATTGTATCTCTCCCTTATTATAATTGAATAGCAACGTTCTATATGAACGTTCTAAATTTGGCCCCTTTAGTGTTAGGCCGGTGGGACTGCCACTTACCATATCTGCCGACGAATTAGAAGGCGAAGCCTGGTCCCGCCCACACCACCACTGTGAGATGTCTCAGAGAGTTAGCCGGGGCCATTTTGATTGTTCCTCTCACACGAGGACTACCGAAGCAAACTGCAGCTACTTTTGAAGGTCAGTTCCCCTCCCACCACCCCCACACTCCAGCAGACCACCCCCACACTCCAGCAGAGGCCTCTGGCGTCTCCCTCTCACACCCACCCACTCCTGGGCCGGCGACGGGAGGGTCCCTTTTCGTCCCACCCACCCCCACAACAGGCACCGACAGGCGGCCCTGGACTGGGTGTGGGGGGGAAGCCGGCGACCCGAGATCACCGGCCCTAGAGTGGGTGGGGGGGAAGCTTTCCCCCCCACCCAGTCCAGGCCCGGCGATCGGAGCCTGTAGGCTACGATCGGCGGCTTCCCCCCCCCACTGCCCAGTCCAGGCTTCCCCCCCCACTGCCCAGT